TATATGATTGAGGATAATACCCCCAGTGAAAATCAAACAGATGTGGCCCAATTAGCTACAGGGGTTAGTCAAAAACCCTCAGAAGAGGAAACTGCCAGATCATATAAGAAATAGAGATTGGAAAGTATTAGGAGTAATCCACATACCAGACTGTACAATATCCTCCAGAATGCAATTAAACTGAGTGGCCATTGACAGAGATATGACAAATCTGGTGAGATATGACACGTAAAATATTCCTCTCCTGTAATGATAATCCATTTACAAAGTTACCTTGTTAGAGTAATGGGAGATAAGTAAAGGGAAAATAAGGATTCCAATGAATGAACAATCGATTCCTATTACCTCCAAAATGAGTTAGTATTAGCTACATAACACATAAGGGCCCTAACAGAACGTGACAACGAGCCAGGATTGGAGTGGTCATAAAGGTGAGAAATGGCTGGCAAATGGATTGGTAATAAGGATGTTTCTCCTTCCCTAAATGTCAGAGTCTATTGGAACCTATTGGGGTAAAGCAGGAAAAAAGTGGAATGATAAAGAGTCCAAAGCACAGGAATTGCAAACAACTCCAACCAACAATGTCCACAAACCAATAACAAAAAAAAAAAATAATACAACTTAAGAGAAAGGTGAAACAAAGAACATGAATCTAAGGACTCAAAAGGAGGATGAGACAATGCATGTAAAACAACTGTAAAATCTCAATTTGGTAAGCGAAAAGGTCATTTTGGACAAAGAATATGAAAGTTTTGAGTAGATCTGATAGTACTGAGAATTAAAAAAAAGCTTCTGATATTTGGAATACCAAAAATAGTGGACAAGGATGCCTCATATAAAGCAACTATAAGCAAAGCAAGACCCTTCTCAAATATCCAAGTCATAAAACGAGATATGGTAGATATTTTAGGATGAAGAGGGTTGAAATTCCTTTTAAGACACCACTGATGATACGTATTCCATTTCCGTCGATAAATGGCTGTGGTTGGCCTATGGAGAGATTTAGTTAAATACAGAGAAACCATAGAAGTTAAACCCTTAAGATGGGCAAAGGACCACATATTTATGATGCTTTTCTTTAATTTTATCCTTTAAACCCTTTGCGAGCCAACCTGGTTTTTAGTTGTTTCTTTTTTATATTCTATAAGAATCATGTCTATCTTGACTATTGAAAAATGTGTTTAAAATTATTTTTATATTTGATCAGTATCTCCAAGTAATTCACTTCCCCAATTCACAACAGATAATTCTTGTCTGATCTCTTCAAAATTTGCTTTCTTGAAATTTGGAACCAAAATCCCCTTATTCCTTATTTCCATATGCTGATCATTGCTGAATTAGATTTGATGTTTTACTAAACATCAAGCCTAATTCAGCAATAATCACTTCCATAATCTCAACCCAGTCAATCATTTCTATACAAGTTAACAATAAATCTGAAATTGTATTATTTCTAGTACATCAGTTGGTGAAGAAAACTAATCTGTAGTTTCTAAGAGCTCATCTCCTTTATGATCTGATTTTAACATTTCCAAATCTATATGCCTGAAATTAAAATCTTCAATAATTATAACCTAATTTACAGCTGGATTCTTTATATCACTGTAGAGTTTCTCTTTCATTTGAAGTTTTATCTGGCAATCTGTAAAAAATTCCAACTAAAAGTTTTCTCCACTTAAAACTACTAATAGAAACCCAAACACAATGAATCTCATAACTGTTAACTCTGACATTAACTCACAATATATACAGCCACACCTCCTCCTCTTTTTGATACTTCATCCCTATTCAACAACCCTGTAGTTAAAAGAAATCCCCATCACCAAAATTCTCTGTTTAATCAAGTTTCAGTTATTCTCATCAGATAAAAATCCTCTGCATATACTGAATGCAAAAAACTTGGCAAAATGTACTCAAATTGTCATACATGAAACTAGAAGGATTCTTCCATACTATACCTTAAACCAGATGTGCTAAAACATACAGCAATGTGGCTAGGTAGACCTACATGAAAACAGAAGGGTTCTTCCAACTATACCTTACACCAGATGTACTAAAACATACAGCAATGTGACTAAGTAGACCTACATGAAACCAGAAGGATTCTTCCAACTATACCTTACACCAGATGTGCTAAAACACAGCAATGTGGCTAGGTAGACCTACATGAAACCAGAAGGATTCTTCCAACTATACCTTACACCAGATGTACTAAAACATACAGCAATGTGGCTAGGTAGACCTACATGAAACCAGAAGGGTTCTTCCAACTATACCTTACACCAGATGTACTAAAACATACAGTAATGTGACTAGGTAGACCTACATGAAACCAGAAGGATTCTTCTAAATTATACTTTACACCAGATGTACTAAACCAAAAAACTTGGCAGGCCTATGAAAAAGCATCCTTTATTTAATGCTCATATTGTGACTATGTGGATTAAAATAACTTATTGCTTGAAAAATACTTATCACATGTGTTGAGGCTAAAAGATGATTTAAAACATAGTAATGATGAAGAACAGGTCAAAACTATTATATAAACATTTGGTAACTGATTATGTTAATTTGGAATGTTGGACATGAACAACATGAATTATACACATGTATGTATGGCAAAGGAACATATGAATTTTTATAGAATTAGATAATCAAGTTTTAGTTTTCTTGTTGTAAAAATGTAGGTTTAATTAAGTAGTATGTTACAAAGAAATGGCATGGATAACCATTCCAGTCCTAACAAACACATTTTTACTATACAGAAACATCAATGATACTAAATACATTACACAAAGAAATGTATCGTTTGATCTGCAAGGTTTTATTAACCAGCTTTTTAGATCTATTTGCATCATTTTGACTCAAGTTATTAGGATAGTAGTATGAAGAATATAAACATATATCTAACTTGGCCATTATTTGTTACGAACAAATTATAATGTCTTCAGATATTGGCCTATTAGATATTCAAGGACAAATCCAAATTTTTTTCTGGAAAAATTAATATCTTTCAACCAGCTTCGTAAGAAAGAATAATGAAAGAAAAAAACAAAGTTAGTGTTTCATGCAATAGATTAAAGCTAACATTTTACCAAATTTTAAAGAAATAACACCTTTGCAACTTTTCAGACTTCTTAACACATTACCTTATCCTACTATATTCATGTAAATAAAAACACACAATACCTTTGACAACTTTAAAAAAAGTTTTTCACTATTTTAAGATGTAAACCCAATGTTTAAGCCCTATAATTTGTAACTGCTTTATATGTGAACAGTTTTTTAAGGTGGTTGTTAGTACAGAGGTCACTTATGTTTTGGAGAAATGTGTGAAATTTAGCTAACAGTAACACTTCACAGTGAATTTTTGAGATTGATCTATAACTATGGTCATGTGAAAGACAGGCCTCTGTCCTATATATATACAAGCTAACTCTACTGGTCAGCTGTGTAAAATGATCACTACTTCCTATGGGAAATAGCCATACAGTGAGACTGTTATGCTATGTACAGCCATGAAACACACCATTTCAAAGTACAGAATCTTCCAAAACCACGTCACACCAACCAGGATTAATACTCTCATTCAAAATGAAAGCTGTGGTTATAAAAGAGAACTCTCTGACCTAAAAACCATTGAAAGGAAGATGGGCATTTGTTCTGGCATCAATAATAAGATAATAGAATAGCATTTAAAGCTGGCAAACTACTCACAAGCTTCTAACCACACCTTGAAATTAAAAGCTATTTTCATGAAAAAGATGGCAGAAAAACTGAAACCACAGCAATCTCATTTGACCAAATATTTGTAAAGCTTTCTAATAAGCTTTTATATCTTTGGTCTGCTTAAGCATTTGTTTAGAAATCATGCCAAAACACTTACAAATATATATATCAAACTGTACAAGAGAAGTAAAAAAGCACAGTGATTGGATTACTAAATGTATTTCTTATTTTGCCATTATAATTTGATGTTGTAAACCAATGTAAGATCTATACTAAATTGTTCACATTTTCACTAATAAATGAAAGAGGCAAAAATAATTTATGGATAGCAAAGGGTCGTTTGGTGCTTCTAACTCAAACTCGAAACTAAAGTCTCAACTTTTATACATTCTTACGAGTTCACTGACTGTGACTTTGTTAATACTTACAAAAGCATATATCAACTTATCAAGTACTGTCATCGTTAATTAAGAATAGCAGACATTGAAAAAGTTCTTTGACTTTGTAACAATAATACTACCAATAATTGTGAAGAACGATACAGAATTTTTCAAGATTAGTTTCTAATTCTAAATTTTTATGGCCTGTAGCTTTTAAATGTTTGACTTTGATACTGATCCCAATTTCCGTTTCTTTATTTATACCTTGCCTCGAATCACAACATTGTATTAAACACGAGAAACAAGATTACCTCATACTCATAGTAGATGTCAAATAAGCTGTAGCTATGTAACGTTAAGTATTAAGAACTGTGAGCTTATGTTATGGATGAACGATTTGAAGTTCAATCTTCGACCTCCTTGTCCCCACCAATCTGGTTTCCACTATCTGTTCTCCAATGCTTATTTTCGCCGCCTCTTGATGTTGACGATCGATTTAAACTTTGTCAGATTCCTGTTGAACGATAATCATAATATAACTTACTTGTAGAAATAACAGTCTAATGAATACGTTTGGTGAAAATAATATATGTTGTATAACTCTCACTCTGTTGATGTTAAAATCGGAAACGTACCACACGTACGAGAGAAAACAAATAATATAGATATTACTGAACATACCATTAGATTTTCGGCAAACAAACGACACCACGATTTACGTGACGTCAAGCTGAAAGGTGGGTTTCTTCCAAAATAAATCAATATTAATAACCTTTAAGTATTAGGCTGATTAAGTAAACGTGTCAACACTGACATTTACATTTTAATATGGTAATCAAATATTGATCAATAAAATTTTGAACAACCAGGGTTAAATGATTTCAGTATCCAATAAGATTTTTCATTAACACAATAAACGCAAAGATTTTCAAACGCATCATATTATTATATTTTTAAAAGAGTTACCATCACAAAAACTGCTGTAAGATGCTAAATTTTGTTTTAAAGATTCGAAATTTTAAAAACTATCGGAAAGCATATCATTCACGTATTGACTATGATACAAGTACAATTTAAATGCTAGTCGACAATAACAAACGCAACAGTGTGTTTCGACAAAAAGGGTAACGCTTGAAAAACCATAAAGAATCAAGCGCCATAATTAAACAATTATATTTTTAACACAAGGTAACTAAAATGTTTTTAATGATAAACTATGTAAGCGTTCATCCTTACTGAATAACTGGTACCATATCAACTGAAAACACACTCAATGCTTCACAGATTCTCATCTACATGTTTATAAATATAATATTACTGTCTGTTGTATGTCCATTTAACTACTCCGCAGGGTGTGGATGGATATTCACCAAATTTGGAATGGAGGTTCATTGGGTCCATGAAAAGATACATACACATTTTAAATTTTGCGTTTTGCGGTTTTTACCCCTACTTCGCCCCCTGTTGATGGCTATTCACCAAATTTGGCATGAAGGTTTGTTGGGTCCATGCGGAGATATATGCAAATTTGCGGTTTAACATTTTAGTGTTTTGCAGTTTTTGGGGCGTTGTTTTTTAAA